CCGATCCCGCAGGCCAGGCTGAGGGACCCCACCCTGTCAAAGGGAAGGTTCAGCCCTCCTGGCCCCTAGGGCCTTGTGGGAAGTGTCAGGATGAAGAGGGGACCCAGAGGGCATGTGATTGAGAGGTGGTGACAGCCATTTCTTCTCTGATCAGTCCCATTGAACTCCCTCCACAGCCTTCCTCACGCTCGCTTTGGCCATATTTAGTGAAGCACCAGGAGGGTTTGTGCACTGGCTGGATAAATGCCCTGAGCACCCAGCTGCTTTCACTGCCTCTTAGGCAGCCACTAACATTTTTTTTTTAATACATTTTATTGATTTTTTACAGAGAAGAAAGGAGAGAGATAGAGAGTTAGAAACATCGATGAGAGAGAAACATCGATCAGCTGCTTCCTGCACATCTCCTACTGGGGATGTGCCCGCAACCCAGGTACATGCCCTTGGCCGGAATCGAACCTGGGACCCCTCAGTCCGCAGGCCGACGCTCTATCCACTGAGCCAAACCGGTTTCGGCCAGCCACTAACATTTAAAAGGGGGGGCGAATAGCCCTAGCTGGGTTGACTTGGTGGATAGAGCATTGGCCTGCGGACTGAAGGGTCCCAGGTTCGATTCAAGTCAAGGGCACATGCCTGGGTGCGGGCTTCATCCCCATTATGGGGCTTGCTGGAGGCAGCCATTCAATGATTCCCTCTCTCATCATTGATGTTTCTATCTCTCCCTCTCCTGGGTGGCAGGCTTTGCCCCTGGTTGGGGCTCGTGTGAGAGGCAGCCGATCGATGTTTCTCTCTCTCCCTCTCCCTTCCTCTCTTTCATAAATAAATAAAAATAAATAAATAAATAAAAGGGGGAGAATAGCTCCATACTTTAAGAAATAGTTTTTCTTTTCAATCATAGTCACAGAAACACTGTTCTGAGACCTATAGAAATTCTTTTACCTACAAGGTCTTTATTGGCTTAAATTTTATAATTACTGTATATCCATAATCTCTTAAACCCCTTAGGGACTTTAACAAGTGAGAAAAAGAAACATTGGCTACATGGAATCCTGATTGGAATTCTGAAAAATGAGAGTTCCGTGAATACTGCTTGAAAATGGACTAGAATGAGGGTGGAGGTTTGCTTGCCTTCTCTCTGGTCCCAGTTTGATACCCCAGGTCCCCTCCTCGGGGGTCCATCCTTAGGTCATCTCAGCCATGCACTCTGCCCATTGAATCCTAGATGCGTGTTCTGGACAAGCTGATGGTCGAGCGACTCTCAGCCGAGAGGACAGAGTGCCTGAGCCGCCTGCAGCAGCACTCGGACACAGAGAAGCTTGAGGGCGAGAAACGCCAGGTGAAAACCAGTACCTGTCAGTCCTTACCTGGTGGTTTACCACACTTCTCCTTGGAATTAAAAGACGGAGGCCTATCATTGAAAGCTCAGAGGCCGGGGTCCCCTAAAAGGGTTTGCAGCACATAGCACGTCATTTGCATCACTTGGCGATGAAGTCAATAGGAAGGGACCTGCCGCTCAGTTGGTGTTTGTTGCTGAACATGCCGGCAACAGGTGGGGACTGAAAAGTTCCTGGAACATGCTGGGGGAACTGTGACGTCTGCCCCGAAGCTCGTCTGTGTGTGGTGTGTTCACTGGGCCCTTCCTCTATTGAACAAGATCTGGTTCCTGCCCTCAGAGTGTGTGGTCTACTCGGGACAATAGACCTAAAATGAGCACTTGCGGTGTCTGAGCGCCCGTGCTCCTAAGCAGGCAGAACTGCTTAGTTGGGAAGACGTGGGAAGCTTTGGGTCTTTGAGTTGAAGGTGGCTCTTAGTCACTTAATGAGGATTATAGACACTGTCAGCCTGGGTGTTGGGTGAATCCTGATCTATAGAGGGCAAGCAAAGAGGTTGTGTGTGGCCTGTGGGAGGGGGGTTATCCACAGGGTTGGGGCTTGTCGAGATGGTATTCCCAACTATTATAGTTTAAAAGTCCGTTCTTGATGCTTTATTCATTAACCATGGATTAAATTCACCTGAGTATTTTGTGGGTGCTTTTCAGATGTCCTTGGTGGATGAATTAAAAACCTGGTGCATGTTGAAGATTCAGAGTCTGGAACTGAAGCTTTCGGGAGACTCTAGGGCTAAATCCACGCCATCTACTTGTGAGTCCTCCACAGGTAACCCTCATGCAGAGAGAGAGCCCTTCCACCCAAAGGTGATGAAAACCCCCAAATCTTGTTCTCTCCTGCATCCTAAGGCGGCCCATAGGATAGGGCTGTGGAAAACTGGATTGCAGAGCAACCTGTAGGGGCAAGGACAGGCTGTGTCACTGCCGTATACCAGGTCCGGTGCAGCAGTAAAGCTCCCTCATCGAAGTGGTCAGCATATTGGAATGAAGGAATAAAAGAATTGTTTTGATCGTTGATAGCAAGTGCTTCAGGTACAGTGTTGGTGTAGAGTGGACCCCGTCCTGAGGGGTGATGAATGGACATCTGTCCCCTCAGCAGCTGCCCTGGTACCTCTTCCCCGTCTTCTCCTCTGTGATTGGCCTTTTACCTTCATCCAACTCTGTGAAACCTCGTTGAGTGCACATCATGTATTAAAGCTGCCTCAGGTGCTAGATCAGAGATGCTTCTGCAAAGCATCGTTACATTGGCCACAGAGATTACCCACAGTGATAGCTTTAAGGACATTCAGAGACTTAGAAATTAGGCTTCCAGGGGGGTTTGGTATGTTGAGTGTCTTATGTTACCACAGGCCATCTCTGGGACTGTGGGTTTATCTACTTTATGCTCATGACAATGGCGAAAATCCCTGGCAGATTTTTCACGCGAGGACTAGTTCTGGAGCTTGGCGTGGAGCTCTGAGAACAGGGGATGGGACCGCCTTTCCCATTGGAGCTTTGCTCAGGGACCCAGTTCCTGGGGCTGTGTGTGGAAAGGGATACTCATTCTCACTGGTAAATGCCCAGGTATGTTTTGAGACACTTGGTGAGCTGTGCCATCCTTGGCCGTCAGGATTGGTGCCCGGAGCCTTCCGGAGCGGGTTGAGACAGGCTAAAAGAGAGGCCAGCACCTTTTTTGGCTTAGCTGCCACCAGCATGGCTAACACAGTATCCATGAAAGCCTTGCCAAGCCAGATGGTCATCAGGAGAGAAGGGGCAGGAAGGCAGAGCAGCAGCTGCACGCTGGTTGGGGAGTGGGAAGGCTGTCGGTCTGCAGGGCTCTCAGGGCTCCCGGAGGCCGACCTACAGCCATGTGACTGCCTGTGGCTTCGCTCTGACTTGTGTTTTCCTTCCCAAACCAGCTGTGGATCCATCAGTGGTGACAGCAGGTCCAGTCGCAGCTTCTGACACTTCCCCTCGGGTGGTCAGGCCCAAGGAAAAGGGACTCGGCTCCACGGCCGCCCACAGGCTCCAGCAGGAGCTGTCCTCCTCCGACTGCACAGGCTCCCGACTGAGGAGCATCAAGGTCCAGACAGCCTTGCTGCCCTTAAAAGAGGCAGCCAGATGCGATCAGCAGGCCGGGCCCTGCGTCCACAGAGGCACCCAAACCAAGAAGTCCGGGAAAAGTGGGCAGACGAGGCATCGAGCCCAGCCACCAGCACCCAGCACCACCTGCGGGCAGCCACCACCAGCTACAGGCAGCGAGCAGACTGCCTCTCACATTCGAGACACCTCCCAAGCTCTGGAGATCACCCAGTATTTTTTTGAGGCTGTTGCTACCCAGATGGAGAAGTGGTATGAAAGAAAGATTGAAGAAGCACGAAGCCAAGCCAGTCAGAAAGCCCAGCAAGACAAGGCCACCCTGAAGGAACATATCAAAAGTTTAGAAGAGGAACTTGCTAAACTAAGGACGAAGGTGCAGAAGGAAAATTAGGGCCTGGGAAGTGGCTCAAGAAAGGATCCTTGGGGATTTCTGGTATAGCAACTGCAGAATAGCTGTGCCCCAAGTGTCAGTTAGAGTGCACATAGCAGACTTGCCTTTAAAAAACATCACTAGTTTCTAAAATGTGCCAGACACACACGTTTCCTATGCCCTGACGTTATGAAGACGACAACAATTAAACTGAAACCAGGGAAAGCTTGTTTAGTTTCAGGTTTCATTACAAACTTAAAACCTCAGCCCAGGTTCATCTGAAGTTCAAAAGCTCAGATTAAGCGAACCACCTAGATACTCAATGATGTGTAAACCTAAACCCTAAAATTCAGGATGTACAAAATAATAAAAATCAAAAGCAAGAAAAAAAAAGTTAATCCCTTGTGAACTTAAATCGAGTCATCATTCATGTAAACACACCTGCTGTGCCTAGAGGAGAGTGTCTTTCCGTAAGAGCGGTAACGGCGATGCGGTAACGCCTCCCTCAGATGCAGAATTCTCAGAGTGCTGACACTCTAACCAGGTGAAAATTTATCACACGGAGTCTGAGGAGAAAGAGATTTTCATCATGTCACAAAATCCAGTATAACTTAAAACAAAATGTTTTAAAAAGTCAGAGTGTGTTTAAAAAATGAGTCATTGGATAATAGCACTGGAATGTTTGTTAATAATGAACACAGATGAGAAAGATTCAAACCATTTGATCACAGTTTCTGTATTTTCAGCCAAAATATAGAAATACTATATTTTCTGTTAATCCTTGTGATTTTTAAAGCAGATTAATGGGGGGCGGGGGAGGGAGTCACATAACAATTACCTGAAACTTCAATAACCTATTGATAATCAAACCCATTTACCTTAGAGTACCTTCCTGAATTTGAGTTTATGCATCAGTATTTTATAAAGAAATGAGGCCATTTCTTGAAAGTACTTCATTTTTAATTGAGTTCTGTCATTAAAACACCCCAAAAGCTTTCGCACTGCTTCGCAGTGACTGTGCTGAGTTAGACCCCAGCACTCCCCAGCCTCCGGGGCCCTGAGGGTTTTGCTCTGCTCTAAAGAATATACAAAGTTACAAAAGTAGCTCCGTGTGTTGAATCTTTCAATTCAATCATCTTCAGACTTCTTGTCCCTTGGAATGTGGGATTATATTCATCTCCTCAAAATTCCATGTATGCACAGAAACCTCAGTTCTATTTCTATAAACACAGGAACTGAGTAACTATTGTCTGTAATTTTGAATAAAATGTTGCTTATTGAGCCAAAGAGAAAAGAATGACTTCTTGACATGGAAATACTCAGAAAAAACAAGGTATGTTTTTAGCTCCTTTGTGGGGGTTTTGCCTGCCACACTCACCGTTGTTTTTGTTTTTCTTAATAGTGACAGTGTGGATATAAACATTCCTCATAAATGTAGACAAAGGGCAGCTTGACCGAACCTGGGTAGGGAATTCATGTGATGCTCTCAAGCTTCTTTCCACGCTCCTGAGCTTGTCTTGCTCCTCAGCTGCTGTGAGGCAGACGGTCTTCCCGGAGACGCGCTGGATTGCTGCTTGTGGAGGTGCTCTCTCGTTCCGAGTTCTTGGTGCAGAAGCACAGCGCTGGGTGGTAGCGCTGGGTGGCACCTTCGGACCATAGCGTGCTTTGGTGGGAAGTAGTTTGATTACGTACCTCCTGCCCACCAGGAGCAGGCAGCTTCTTACTGTGAGCTGGCTGTTTCCATCCAAGCCGCAGTTAGGGACGAGAGCAGGGAGGAATGAAAAAGGTCAAATGTACCTCATCTGCAGAGGACACAGATCTTGTTTCTCAAAGATGGGAAAACCTGTAATAGAGGCTGGGAGACGGAACAGGCCATCAGCCTCCTAACCCAGAGATAGATGGCAGCCTCTCAAGACAAACCAGTAGCTCTGATCACACCTGCGTTTGGTCTGTTTTTGTTCCTTATTGTCAAAAAACTCAGCTGTGGGTCCGATGTGGTTTTTCTTATTTTTACCTTGTGCTATCTACTAAAATGAGCAAATGCCACAACAGTACTTTTCCAAAGAAGCAGAACTATTAACTATTTATAGCTGGTCATGTAGGTCGTGTTTCAGACTGAGGCTGGAACCTTCAGTGGCTGTGGGGAAAGTGATGTAAAATACATAAAAGTTATGCAGTATTGCAGTGTTGCTGTTTTTTGCTGTTGTTAGTGCATTATTGCATTTGAGTATAGTAATATTTGTGATAGACTGAATACCAGTTCTAATCTTACCTTTGACTTTGGGAGCCCAAAATAAAGGAAGTGATCTTTTCATGTTATACCCTCTTTTTTCAGTCAAGCATTGATGCTTGAGAGGTATGTGGTCTTCTATTTATGATATGTAATATAAACAACATATTTAACATTTTTATCACCTTGAATTTCTGTTACTTCCAAGCATGAGACTTGGTTCTCAACACTATGGATACGAAACTCCTTATTTAAAACATGAAAGTGTGAATATTTAGCCTACATTTTCATTTGTGTAGCTAACCAAGTTTTATGATTCCTGAAAGAGTGCCTTCACTCAACCACACTTCACCATGTTTCCATAAAAGTGTAGTTTAAACACATCTGCTTTAAAGTAGAGATCAGGTGAACTGCATGAAAAAAATATTTTTAAAAAGCCTGTTGTAACATGGAAAGATTTCTCAGTGTGAGCTTAAACAAATGTTTTATTTAAACTGTTGACCTTTTGGAAAATACTGAACAAAGAAGGAGGATAACATTACTTGTCATTTTATGCAGACAAAGATAACATTTTTTTTTTACTAACAAATAGTTCCTAAAAGCTAAGTATAATTCATCTTGTGATATAAAAGCCAATTAAGATTTAAAAGACAAGCCAGTTTTAAAAAGCTAATGACATTTTTAGAATACATCTTATGAATAAGAAAAAACATTAAAAATGTATTTTGTTATGTTTTTAAAGGGAAATATGCGTTTCCTATATAGTAAGTCAAATATTATGACTATAAATGTGAATATATTAATTTAAATTAATAACACAAAAGCAAGACACAGTACAGCACAGCACTTTTTTAATACAAAATAGAGTGGGTAAAGTGATTCACTCTTCTCAGTAAACAAATAATTAACTTAATTCTAGTATAATTTCTCAACTGCCTGACTCAGGGAAGGAAGTAGCTCAAGGTGATTTCTAGTTTGGCACAGAGTGACGATTTGCTTTGTATTCTGTTTGGATCTTATTCTACATAATCCTAATTTTGTTTTCAAAGTAGATGTGAGCAGCTTCCTTTTGTTTTTATTTTACTAGCATTTTCCTTCCTTCATGAAAGAGAGATAATTTAGGTAAGTATGGGTCTCTGCCTCTCAGCTCTCCTGTGTCTGTTGGCATGACTGCAGTAATACCTACACCAGGAAATACATTCTGCTGTCCTCAACCTTTAAAGTCCTGTGACTCTGCAGGCACATTCATAGCATTGCCATGCCAAGAGTTTAACATTTCCAACCTGACACACTTAAAAGGGGGCAGTGACACCGGGACAGTCAATATGCTAAATAAGAAATAGCCTTAGCCACTTCTCATATGCTAGAAAGCTTTTGTATTAAAATTTTTTAATATAAAGATTTATTCAAATACATAAACTGAACATTCAAACTTCTTAAAATTAAACATTAGGAACAAGACTTGCACATTCCAACAAGAGTGTAGTTTACAGGGAACATACCCAGGAAGGTAACTTGTCTTTATCAGAACACTGATAAAGATGATGAATAAAATGTACTTCACCAGCAGTTCTGTTCTGGCCAACATCTTTCTTAATGACCATCATTTCATATGTGAGGAGAAATTGCTAAATAAATCTTAGGCTAAACAACAGACTTGACCTATAATTCAGGGGGAATATTCAAAGCATGTAAGTGAACTAATAAAATTAAACTGTTCTGTAGAAATGAAAGTAAAAGCTTGTCAGTTATAATAATCTTAGCTTCTGGAAGGTAAGAATTAAGATTTGTGTTTTACCGATTTTAAAAAACAAACAAACTACAGGTTTGGTTTTCTTTAAGTCTTTGGTATTTGCATCTTGCAAATTCAAACCACAAACGCTCTTACATCTTCCATATACACCACTGCTGGGAAGAACAGCAAGTCACTGACTTCCTCACAACTTCAACGGATGGTTTTTAGCTTTGTGAGATTTTAGGTTTTCTAGGGACAGCCTATACTTGAGTATGTATGTCCATCATGCTACTCAAAGAATATTTTTAATGTGTTCTCTGTTCAGAAACTGTTCACAAATGCTTTTTTCATCAGATGGCTTTGCAGTAGGCTGGCCAGTGCACATCTTTATAAAATCTAAAAATTGTCTCATGAAAGCATTTTGAATTAGCAGATTACCCTGTGGCAGAGTATGCAGAAATATTTGGTCTTATGAGCTCTGAGGCTGTGGGACATGGAGGTGGACCCTGGCTGTGCAGGCCATTGACATATGCCACCATCAGCTAGGCCTCTCCTCTGGCACAGTCCAATACTAAACACTGTTTGTCTTTCTGCGTAATTTTCTCTATATCTTTCAGGGGCTGGTCAGATTCTTGGATTAATTTTTTAGACCTGTTCTGTAGATGAACAGAGGACTTCAGGCTGCAGGACTGCTGGTCCCAGCCTCTTACCACAAACTCACTTTGACTATATTACCTGTTATACATTTGGTCTCTTTCAAAAGTGTTCTGAAGTCCATGTCTTTCTCTGATGTATTCTTTAAGCTCTTTGTTTTTTTTCCTGTCACTGGAGAACCTACTGCACTGAAGACCTTCCCTAGTGATTTATTGTGCTACTTCTACATGGATGTTAAGGTAATTGCATTAGTTTCATCCAGAAGTTGCCTCTTCTTTTGGTGTTCAAGGTACTTACTAAGGTTCTCTTTCTCCTTTCTCTTCAACAAAGATCTGGATTCCCAGTGGTGATCTTTTTCAGTATCAGATCATGACACATCTGCAGAACAAACCTCCACCACCGTGAGGGATAATACAGGAGGATTTTTCAAGGACGTTCCAGGCTATCTCCTGAGGTCAGTACACCCCCAATCCTACCTGTCATACTGTTTTCCAAAACAGCTTCATTGACTTACACAATGTTATATGCCAATTATATTTTAATTTTTAAAAATGAAAAGGAACAGCTTTATAATTCACATAGGATACATATAAAATATACATTTTCATGGGTTTTAGTATATTCAGAGTTATGCAACCAAAACCTAACTTTACAATGTTTTCATCACCCCAACAAGAAACCCCATATCCAGTTACTCTCCATTACATCCAGAGCCCTAGCAACCACTGATCTTTCTACCTATCCCACACATTTCCTATAAACGGGATCAAACAATATGTGATCCTTTGTGACTGGCCTCTTTTAGTGTTTTCAAGGTTCATTCGTGTAGCACTTATCAGTACTTCACTCCTTTTTATTGCCGAATGTTTTATTGTATAGATATACCACATTTTTTATTTACTTGTTTATCAGTTGGTGGGCATTTGGATTGTTTGGGCTATTCTGAAATAATGCTGCTATGAACATTTGTGTACATGTGTTTTGTAGACATGTGTTTTTAGTTTTGTTGGTTGCAACCTAGGAGTGAACCTGCTGAATCAAGTAACTATGTTTAACCTTTGGGGAGCTGACAGTCTGTTTTCCAAAGCAGCTGCTCTATTTTCTGCCCCCACCAGCAGTAGATGAGGGTTCTGATTTCTCCACATCTGCCCCATTAGTAGTTATCTCCCTTTTTGATTACAGCCATTCTAGTGCATGTGGTGGATGTGTAGTATCTCATTGTGGTTTTGATTTGCATTTCCCTGATGAATAATGGTGTTGAGTATTTTTTTTATGTGCTAATTCAGTGGTCAGCAAACTGTGGCTCTTTGGCCCCTTGAGTGTGGCCACGAAGTTTCAATCGCACTGTACGTGCGTGCCCGCACGTGGTATCTTGTGGAAGAGCCACACTCAAGGGGCCGCAGTTTGCCGACCACTGTGCTAATTGACCGTTTCTTGTACTGGTTTTTGCTTCTTATAAAAACTGCTGACAAATCCAGAAACATTTTCAAAATACAGGGTATGTTTTTCAGAGCTAAGGAAATGGTTCCAATGCGGCTTTTCTTTGCCCTCTGTGACATGCCATGCTCCACGTTCTGATACTCTGCTGGAGTGCTGGACATACAGTTTGACTTGACTTTGGGCTGCCTGTTGTTGAGCATAAGCTCAAAAAACACATGGAGACCTTGGAAATCTTTCAGGATAATGCTATAGTTAAGATTTTGCTAAAGCAAGTGTTCTTTCTAACTCCTTGAGCTGCATGTTGCCTTGTGTAATCATCATCCGGATTGTAACCTGTAAGAGAAAGTGAGATCTGGTCACTGTTTTACCTGGTTAATCAAGGTGCCGCCGTATGATTGTATTTGTTCAAGTTAAGAACCAATGCTGAGAATTCAAACTGCTGCGTATTCGAGAAGCCAAAAATCTAACAATCAGGAGTGCACGGTGTCTGACAGTCATACTTCCCAGACCCTCCTGCTGTAATATTTACAATATTTTTGTGTGTG